CTTATACAAGTACGAACATGTATATTTTGAAAGAGTTGAAATGAAAATGATGATTTTGTGTATAAGTTTTCTCCCCCTTGTGTTTTGGTGAAATTTGGGGTTAAGTGGTGATTTTAAGATATATGTATTTTTGATTGTGTATAGTGCATTGCATGTGTCCACTAGAGTCCATTGAATGTGGTCGGATGGTCGGTGTACGCTTTTGACACTTGTGGTTGAGTTAGGACACCAAAGTTGTGAGATTTTTGTGAAAATTAGTCAAAATAGATTTTGGTGTCTAACTTATTATAGAAAGAAAATTTGAGTATGAAACTAGTACTATTAGCTAGAGTTGGGAGAATGCTTCGTGTGGACACCGAAACCACCTCAATCGAACATCAGATAGAGTTTCAGGATGCATCAAAAATTTGCTCCCTGTGTTGTCAAATGACAGCACTGATGCTGTCAAATTTATGCAATGCGTCGTGGCTCATGGCGCTTTACGCTATAATACATGGCACAAAGAAGGATAAGCCACAGCGCACATGTCACAAGCCACAATGCACGTGTTGTTTTCTACATAAAATCTATTTTTGAGTTTTAAAACTCATTGTTTTGGGTCTCATTTGTTTTCCAAACTTTCGCACTACTTTCAAACTCTGATTTGAACAATTTAAGAATATTGATTGAGATTTGAAATGTTGAATTTGGGATTCCATTATAAACAATTTGAGAAATCTCTTTTATGAAACTTTATAATTTTGGTAATTCTTTGTGAGTTAATCCCCTGATTACCTTAATTTTGGAAGGAAACATGATTAAGTAAAGGAGACCTTACAAAATGTATCAAAGACGAGTTTAAAATTTAAATTACCCCTAAACCTATAGTTTAGAATTCAAATTGCCTTTTAACCCTTAATAAAATCCTTGGACATTAACCCTAAAAAAGTTTAAAAAACTCACTTGTAGTAACCTACAAATTACAACACACCAATGAGATTGTCATATTAATAATGAGATTTGAATTCATTCTCTTGTGAGGAGAAATTCTTGCATGGGTTTGGTCTACCCCGTCATCTATTATCTATTTAATAAAAATAAAAGCTTTTGTAGATATAGCTTATGTTATAGGATTAAATCAAGCAAATAACTTAACATTTATTATATTTTGTATTATAACCGGTTTATTGTATTTATCGATGATATATTATTGCATATTAATGATGTACCTCTTATAAATTTTTAAATTTTTAATGATAAACTCCTTATATATCAATATGAATTTGCCACACTTTAAAATTTTTAAATATTCGATCCATATTTTTTGGGTTTAAGATTTTTTTGGGTCAATGGACCAATTTATCCATAAAAATATGCCATATCATATTGTTGTAAATATAAATTAATTATACCATTAATAATAATAATAAAGAGAGAAAAGACAAGAAATTAAAAGAAATTAAATTGATTATTCTACCATTTATATTTACAACCATAAGATATATATGGCACGTTTTAATATTTACCAACTAAACCATTGTTGATTGGCACAAAAGTTATTACCCCTAAATTGACTAGTTTGGTCCCCATGGCCTGCATCAGTAGTGCTAGTCCTTGTATCCTGTAGTTAAAGGTACCAATGAAATGTGGACAAGAAACAAAGTTGGGTACATTAGTACATTATTACTATTTGTATAAATAAATATTTCAACAAAATATACACAAATACACATATATTATTACACTGTTGAGCCTTTCTTTATCACAGAACCATGTGCTCCTTCCTTTTACATATACGTCACCCATGTTTCTGTCTTATACCCAAATCCTTCTTTCAATCTATAACTTTGTTTAATCGTTATCTCTTTTCATAGTTATTTTAATCATTAGTTAAATGATCCTAATTGACAGTTATAATATCCACGTTCATCTACTGAGTGATTATCAAATCTATTATTCTGTGTCTGATATAAAACTTAAAAAAGAAATCATTCTATTTACACACTATAAACAGTATGACTACTGTTATATTTAATATAAAGTATAATTAGTTACAATCTATTTATTATTATATTTTAAATTTTAAAGTTCATCCCATCATTTTTACAAAATATATAAATATTAATGACAATTGGGTTGAATTCTAAGAAGCTCCGAAGAAAATAAAGAGATATGCATTCTAGATTATTATTACTCTCTTCGGACTAAAATATAAGGTATTAATAATTAATTTTCAATTCTCAAAAAATGTTAGTCGAAACATTAATTTCTTAAAAAAATTTGCTAAATATTTTATATAAGTAGCTTGATAATAATAATTAAAATTTTAATGCATCATTTTTTAAAAAAGAATAATAAATAAAGCAGGGGTATAATTGAAAAAAATTATAAAAGTTACCCAATAACTTATATTTTGGACTAAGCGTGACTTTTAGAGAATGTCTTATATTGTAGTCTTGATGGAATATCTCAACTAGGATATATTATATTAGAAATGGACAGTTTTTTTAATCTTAATTAAGTTGCATCTTGTAGAGGTCTCACTTCTAATTTGCTACTTTTACGATCTCTTATTCTTCCTTAACTGAATGAGGTTTCATCTCATGGCTTAGGAGTATTATAGATGCCTTGATCAAGGACAAGGAGTTTTACTTCCTTAAAAGTATTTTCACTTTAATTAATCTAATTTGGTATAAAAACAATATAGTTCTGTATGGAGGAATCAAAATTGCCCCCAATCAAGGCATACAAGAATTTAAGGGTCAGTTTGCTTTCATAAAAATGGGTTGCAGGACTCTACTTTTCAAAAATTTTAAAAACCTTGAATTTTAGGAAAGTTAAGAGCTCTTTTTTAAGATTGAGAATAGTATATCAAAATGTTATGGGGATTTTGATCAAATCTAGCACTCTAACACATTCATGGAAGATAAAATGCCAAAAGTTCAAGAAGAATAGAGAAATCATCATAATAATGAGAATTAAATTGAATAAAGTTAACTTGTAGTGCCTAATCTTCAAGGATTTCCTATTACATGGATTAGTAGCTTGCGTCATTGGATTTATCAATAATATTACAAAGGTTGAAATTGAAATTTGGATGATCTTGGGTGAATTCACTTTTTCTAGTTCAGAATTAAGTTAAAGGATGAAGTTTTGAGTATTTCATCGGAAGCTTGGACTCGTAATATTACACATCTTCTTTGCCCTTTCAGCAAGAAGTCTATTTTTTAGTATAGTTCTTTGTATGTATTCATCAAATATATACACTACTTCTTTTCCCCCTAAATATTGTTATTATCTAACTTTTCTTTTCTTTTTTTATAATTTTATTGTACATATCTGACCTTTTATAAATTAAAAAAAAAACAGAGAGAGATGTACAAGAATGTGAAGAAATGGTTTCACCAAATATCTTAGCTTTCAACTAAGCACTACTATTGAACTTGTCAACATTTTTAAAGGCACCTTAAGCTATATGTTGAGACAAGAAAAAACACCTTCAAGATCAATGTTTTCTGTGACTTCTTTGATGAAATTAATCTAACACCTAACGAACTTTCTTAATATCACCCTCTCGTTATCATCATCAAGAAGGTTAGGGACCTCATTGCAAATAGAAGTAGACCGTCACCTTACATCTTCATATAAATTAAAGAAATAGATCATGTTTGGACTGGCTTGCTCACTAAACTAATCAGCATATAACATGGAGACCACAATTCCTAATGACCCCATATTGTTGCTTGGTGCAAGAACCAGAGACGGATTTAGGGGGCTAACCAGAAAATTATTAAAACTACTTTGTCTTTATTTGTCAAAATGATAAAATTAATTTTAGTGCCCCACTATAATGTAGTTTTGTATTGCCCCCCCCCCCCCCAAAAAAAACACCAATTTGATTCTAGATCCGTACATGCAAGAACCTCGTGTTCTTTGAGATGAAGTAATTTGTTGCTTACCAAAGCCTCTCTCATTGAAGAAAAGTCCATTATAGAAGATTTCAAATTTAGACTTGTGGGCAATACTGAATATAGATTGAAGTTTTGTTTGGGGAAAAAAAAAAAAAAAATATATATATATATATATAATAAATATAAGGGAAAATGATAATAAAACCTCACCAAAATATATAAATGATAACATATATTTTAAAATTTCATAATTTCTCTAAAATCCCTAAATACCTTTCTGACGTTATTCATTTTATATTAAGTGATTAAATTACCCCTTATTTAAAATAAAAAATGACATGCTCACATGAAAATTAAAATTAAAATTAAAATTTATTGTTCAATTCTTATAATTTATAAAATAAAAGTTATGTTTACTTAAACAGAAATTGTTATTGATTATTTTCATAATTTAAACTTCAATGATATAAAAAAATTACATGAAAAGTTATAATTTTTTGTTTAATATTTGTGATTTACATAATTAAAATTATAATTACTTAAATAAAAGGTGTGATTGAAATTGATTATTTTTAAATTTTATTTATCAATTATAAAAGAAATTTCATGTAAAAATTTTTTATTTTTGATTTAATTTTTTTTACAATTCACAAAACAAAAATTGTAATTGCTTAAACAAAAATTGTAATTGAAAAAATGCAACTAAATCCATTATTTTTATTTTAAATAAATAGAAATTTAAATAATTAATCTAAAATTATTAATAGAAAAATGGTATTCAAAAACTTTAGAAGAATTATAGCGTTTCTAGGTATATGATTGTTAATTATATTTTTTAGTGAGATTTTATTATCATTTTTTAATATAATTATAGTTTTTATTTTGTTAATTAGGACGAAAAGGAAAATCTGTTCATCATGCTTCGTAACTAAACAATGCCAACTAAAATTTTAATAATGAAATAATTATATAAGTACAATATTAAAAAAAAAAAAAGCAAATGTCTCTTTGAAAAAAAAAGTAAAAATAAAAATATTTTCCGTCAAACCAAAAAATATGTACGCAACATGCTTGTTTGTTTGTTTGTTTAATATTTAATATTTAAAAAATATGCGTGTTGCGTCGGTTGTCGTCTTCCTCGTCAGGACCAAAGCCCACGTGGGGAATCGCCAGTGGAGAATTCATCGCAAATTGGCAATCAAGCTGTTCGATACTTGTGCATCATACAGTGAGACAACAGTCCTTCTTTGATTGTTTCGCTGTCTCTGTGTGCTCTTTAAGTCTTCAGAAATAATTCTAAATTATAAAAAAAATACATTTATAATTAAAGCAAAAAAAAAGAAATTGCTTGCATCAAATGAAATTGTATTAAAAAGGTACAAAGAAATACATAAAAAAGCCATAAAAAATTAAAATTAAAATTCCATATTAAGACATTTGGAATTGGGGGGATTGGGAAAGAAAAATGAGTAAAGGTATATTTTTATTCCTAAAGTATTTATTGAGAAGCACTCAATATCTTAACGTTTTTATTGAAACAATTTTATTTTTAACATTATTAAAATGAAGTATTTTACCTTTCCACCAACTTTTTGAATGGTCAATGTTAGAAAATTAATGAAAGGAGCAAAAATGCTCTTTTTTGATAATATTAAGGATAAAATTATTTCAATAAAAATATTAAGATATTAGGTACTTTTTGAAAAATATTTTTGAAACAAAAATACACCTTTACCTAAAGAAAAATACATAGATGTAAAAAAAGTAAATGAAAAAATTACATTAAAGCCTTACACAAGAAAATTTGCTCTCCAATAATCTAAAAATGAAATCCTTGATAACATGTGATGTGCAAGTCTTTAAGTGGAAGATGATAGTCGGATTGTAAATAAGGATCCATAAAATGAATGCGTAGAGATAAGAGCTGTAGAAATAAGGAAAAACACTATTTTTTTAGCTAATTATATGTCAGATTAAATCTCCAAAATTAATGAAAATCAAGCAAATTGAGTAGTTAGAGATCTTCATTTACTTACTCTTGATACCCCATCTTGTTGATGGAAGAAGACAACAGGTACTAACTAAAGATAAACTAGATATTCATCAAATCTTGTTAACATCTAAATTTGATGTACAATCTGACTCAAAAATATTCTCAAGATGATGAAATTTTTGGATCATCACATGAGCTGTTGGTTGGCAAAAAATACCATTGTATAAATAACCATTTCTCTTCCTCCAAATAAGAGAAATTAGAATGATATCTGGTTGATGATGTCAAATTGATTATCCTTTAAAAAAAAAGGATGATAGGACAATTGACCATAAGATTTTGAAAATTATTTTCGGGTAGAAAATAATCATCGATTAAATAGCAACACCAAAACAAATTGCTGGAGTAAAATGACATAAAACAAAGATATAATTAATAAATTCATCATCATCACAACCAAAAATATATATACTCCTTTTGTTAAAAAATGTAAGACATTTTTAATTGAATCTCACTCTCAATAAAGTAATTACTTACTTTCAAACTAATCCTATTTTTTCATATTTACTCCTATTAAACACTCTATAATAAATACAAAATTATGTATCAATAGAGACATTTTTAAAGAAAAAAAGAGAAATGATTACACTTCAAAAGGTTAAAAATATTTTATATTTTTTAATATCTAACTCTTCAAAAAAATATTTTATATTGTTAAATGAAAAGAGCACTTCATATCGTTCTGCAAATGACGATACTTTGAAACATCATTAGCTGGAATGGCCTTGGTAAATACCTGCCTTGTGAGTAGAAGGTATTTCCTAGGTAGATCCATTTTTCATGTTTGATTATTGTTCTTGTTTATTATTTTTAAAACTATTTTGTAAAAAAATTATAAATTATTTAAAAAAAGAAAATTTCTTTGATTATATCAATCTGAACAAAATTCTAGAATTAAAAACATTGGTCAATAATAGTTGTTGCCAATGGTTAATGGTGACAACTTAGGATATTGGCTGTGGCTGACGGCAGTGGCAAACGCAGACCCTGATGTTTTTATAATTTTTATAAAAAAATTTAAAATGATATTTTTATAAAAATTATCTAAATTTAAATATGATATATGTAAAATTTAAAATCTATTGAACTTAAGTGAAACATAAAATATCCAAGCTTTTTTAAATTTAAATATTTTTTAATGAGGCTTTTGTAAATATAGTTTATGTTATATAACCAATCCAAGCAAGCAACCTAGCATTTATTATATTTCGTATTATGATTGATTTGTTATATTTATTTGTCAATGCTATACCATTTTATATAAATGATAAAGCCCTTGTAATTTTTAATAAAAAAACCTTTTGTATATCAATGTAAACTGACCATACTCACAAATTTTTAAAAATTTAATCCATATTTTTTGAACATAAGAATTTTTGTTACCTCGTGGCCAATTTATCCTATTTTAATTCGGGTTTAATAAGTTCAAAACTACTAAAGCAATGAGAGTAAATTTTTAAAAATTATGCATACTTGTAAATTTTTTTAAGTTGAGCAGGGTGCTTGTCCACCTTCACTAACACTTGCACCACCATTGTCTAACAGTAGTCGAGAGCCAAGGTGGTTGACAATAGCCAATAGTGGCAACTACTGATGTTGGCAAACAATATTGTGAACATCGATAGCTAACGATGATCAATAGTAATAACCAATAATGATAGTCATTAATAATAATCAACAATGGCTAGTGGCTAACAATGGTGATTAATGGTGATTAGTTAGTAATAACTAATAATAATTAGCTTGCGATGAGACAACAAATGATAATAGTTGATAATAGTGGCCAATGGTAACAATTGATTGTGGTGGTTGGTAAAATATAAATCAAATATACAAGACTTCATAAAATAAAATAAAATAGGTTTGAAAATCATTTAAATTCAAAAAAGTGAAATAGTAACTGGATTTTATTTTATTTTTTATTTTTTAAAAAAATATAAACAATTCTTAAAAATATAAATTAAACATTCTCTTGTTGTGAATCTTGTTCAAGTTAGTTGGCCATGGCGTAGCCACATGTTGGAGAGATTTGACGTGTTATCATTTTTATACATTTTATATAGTTGGTCCTTATGCAATGTATGAAGCTAAATTATCATAAATTATAAATAGCAGTGATGATAGTTTATGAATAACATAATTTATAAATTTAATATTTTATGTTATATTAATATATGTATAAATGATATATATATATATATATATTTGTATGTAGATGTATGTATAAGTTTTGTTGCTCACTTTTAAAATATTTGTTTAAATTAGTACCTCACTTTTAAAATATTTGTTTAAATTAGTACTTTGATATGAGGTCACAGTGACGAAGGAATAGTTTGATCCAGATCAGGCCGTAAGTACATTTTATAATCATAAACGGTACAAGGTGAAGACGACTTGCCAACAAGTTTGTATTTTATTAATTTCGATTTTCAAAGGGTTTTCAATTTTACATACTTTAAATATATATTTGGGGTAAGCAATCTCGCTGTCATAAACTTACCTGTTTACCCTTAAATGAACAACAAAATTAATAAATTATAACAAATATCTGCCCACTGACACCAATATTAAAGCTTGATATACAGCTATACCGTAAATTGTGGGTCAGGTAATTAATTAAGGCTGCACCATCCCAAAAATTTTGTATCCGTATAATATGTCATCTATGTTCTACTTAATAAAATTACGTCAATTTAATTAAATAACATTTTATATAATTATTTTTAATAATTTTATTTTTATAATAAAATACCTATTTAATCTTTTACATGTGCAATATTTTTAGAGAAAATGACACCTTTTGAATTATGTAAATGATATCTTAATTCTTTAAAGTGTCATAATTTTTTTAAAATTTTTAAAAACTTTTATGTCATTAAAAAATTAACGTAAATAATTATATTATTCTTAATTTAAATATCAATTGTTATTTACAAATGTTGTTATAAGATTCATAATTTTTTTTCTTAAATCGCACAAATTCAATAATAATTTGTAAGTTTACATTTAAAATTCCAATATTCTTTAAGTGTTATAAATATTAATTTCTATTCATAAGTTTTGTTCTAAAATTCATAATTTTTTTCTTAAAATTGTAAAAATTTAACAGTAATTCACAAGTTTAAATTAAAAATAATTTAATCGTTTATATTAATTTCTTAACAATAAAAAAATCTCTCAAAACTTAAGAGAAATTATGGGCTTATTTGGCAACTTATTTTAAAAATGATTTTCTAATCTCTAAAATAAAAAAAATCTGTTCGGTAGTATGTTTTTAAAAATTATTTTAAAGAACAAAAAAAAAATATTATTCAAGAAAATAAAAAAAGAAAACATATTTGAGATGTTATGGGATTGTTATTTTAGAAAAAAAAACAATAAAAAACACTTATTTTGATTATTTTTTTTCAAAATATGTTCTATAAAATACCATTTTTAAAAATAATAAAATAAAAATAATTTTAAATAAAACCTATAGTATTTTAAGAAATCAAAATGTCATATATATAATTTAAAAAAATTTTATTATTATTTTTTTAATGTTTTTATTTGATTGAGAAATATATTTTTATGGTGATTTTGATTTGATATTTAACAAAATAAATGGAAAATTATCTAATCTTTTTTTAAAATATTATATAACCATTTGATATCTAGTAATTGTGACGACTTTTACTCTCAGACATTAATGTGATTTTATCCATTCATAAAGCTCAAATTTACCATCATACGGTAGCATGTCCTAACTAATAAGAATTGGGTGGTAAATTTTTTTTTTCCAAGAATTGGTTGGTAAATTTAATTATTTAATAGACCAATTCAATGCTAGTCTCCTGCAATATGTTAGCATATCATTATATATATATATATATATATATAATCAATAACAATCATTTTAAAAATCATAATAATAGAAAAATATGTCATTATTGTTAAAATAATCAAATTATCTAAAAAATATAATTAATTCATTTTATTTCTCAGATTCTAGTGTGTGTGTACAAAAAAATTTAATCAATAACAATATATCAATATATACAATAAATTTTATATTCTAAAAATCATAATAATCAATCTTATTACTTTAAACGTCATTTTTCAATATATAAAACATAATTAATTTACTTGGCATAAACTATGATATGTTTTCAAATAATGTATTTGCAGTTTTACAACAATAACAACAATATAATTATATTTCCTTATAAATCATATTCAGAACATGTGAAGAAGTTCTGAGACTTAAAAACAAAATGAGATATTAATGAAGAGGTCCAGTGTGGTGATTCAATGTGAAAATCGTGGGTTGGAAAAAGGCAAAAAGCATGTCCCCACCACTTACGCATCCCCTGCCAAAAAAAAAAAAAGGCAAGAAGAAGACGACGACGACGACCCGGCTCTCAAAACGAGACTGAGCTCTCTAATCTATGAAAAAAAGAAAAACTAAACAAAAAGAAGAAAGAAAGAAAATATCTGAATCCCATACCCCCGGTGTAATATCTGCTGATGCTATTTATAAATTATTTTTAATATATTTTATAAAAATAAAAATTTTTAAAATTTATTAACTTTATCTTAATAACTTCACAATTTTACGTATATTAAAAATATATACTTTAATAGCGGCGTAATTTCTCTTACTAATATTTAATATAAGTAAAAAAAATTATAATAAAAATTAATACATAATTTATAAATAAAATTAAAAAATATTTTTATGAAACAATGCATGTTTAATCAAATTATGTCAAAAATTTAGATGGTTGGGGAGTTGATCAAGATTATTAGAATGTTTATTATAACTTTAAAAGGTTTAGCTAATTCAGATGTTTCATGTCATTTGTGGTCTATTTAATTAGAATGCTTCGCATTATTTAAATAAAATTTTATGCAATATTATTTTAATTAATTTTATTTTTATAATAAAATACATATTTAATTTTTTATCCTTTATTTGTCTATTATTATTATTATTATTATTATTATTATTATTATTAAGTTAGAATTAATTTTTATTTAATATTATCTAAATATCATATTTTTATTCAAAAATTATAAATGATATGGTATATTCAGTCTATTTAAAAATTTCTCCTCTAAAAATGACACACACAACTAAAATTATTTTCCAATAGGTAAACTGGCAAAAAAAAAACTTTCTAATAAAATCTTCAAATGGATAAATGAATTTAAAATTGTAAATCTAGTAAAAATTAATGCCAACGATAGATTTACCTTAAAAAAAGGGCAATTGGTCAATAATAAAAGAGTGTAGAAAAGACTAGAAGTATGAATTCTTTAGTTGGAATATAAAAATACAAAAAGACCTCAAATCTTATTCAATATTTAATTATTCCCCACATGGCAAACAAACTAGCCTTATGGAGCCAGCCCATGCTTGATTATATTCCTCTCCCCCCCCTTTTCCTTCTTTTACTTTCTTTTTCTTTTTTTTTTCTTTTTTCTTTATATCTATATATGTATATTAATCCGCTTTCTTTTCTAGAGAATCACAGAAGCCAAGCGTCCCTCCATTTTTAAGCACCGTTCCACTCATTATTCTTCAGAACTCTCTCACAAATCAACATGGAAAGTGATAATAATAACTTCTCTACCATACCGTCTTCTTCTTCTTCTTCATCGTCAACGTCAACATCATCACCAACAGTGTCTTGTTTGAAATTCAAGCATGATGATCAGTCTGAAGGTGATCATCTGAATGATAAGCACAAGATCGTGAGCAAGAAGAAGAGACAGAGAAGTGAAAGTGACGATAATGATGAAGGGAATAAGCATTCTACTTACAGGGGTGTGAGAATGAGAGCTTGGGGAAAATGGGTTTCTGAGATTCGTGAGCCCAGAAAGAAGTCAAGAATATGGCTCGGAACATATTCTACTGCAGAAATGGCGGCTCGAGCCCATGATGTAGCTGCTTTAGCCATCAAAGGTCAGTCGGCTTACCTTAATTTCCCCGAACTGGCTCCTCAACTTCCCCTCCCGGCCAGCACGGCTCCCAAGGACATCCAGGCCGCGGCTGCAAAGGCGGCAGCCACCTTCTGTCAAGCCGAGGCAGAAGCCGGCGGAGCATCTGAGCCGAGCCGAGGAGAGCAAGCCACGTCGTCGTCATCTTCTTCTTCAAGCTCTGTTCCTGATGACGATGAAGACACGTTCTTTAATCTTCCAGATCTCTTCACTGATGGGAACATTAATGGAGTCTGCTCATATTTTTCTTGGAATTTATGTGCTGTAGCCGATAGTGGGTTCAAGCTTGATTATGAGCCATTTTTGTGGGAAAGATATTACTAGAGATCAATGTTATTTGTAAAATAATAATAATAATAATGCAAAAAAGAAGCATTAATTCGGGATTTTGAGTCGTGTATATTTCATCATTGTATTTTCCAGACATAACGTGGCTGAGGGAAAAGGAATCAATTTTACAATGTTTATGTCTGAATGTTTAATGAATGAATGTTGTTCTTTGTTGCTTTCTTTCTTTTCTTTCCTTTCCTTTCCTTTCCTTTCCTTTTGTTTTTCTGTTTTCTTTTTTGTCGTGCCGTGACTCATGAGAGATTAGACAGGAAGAAAATATATTTACTTTAATTTGTCTAATATACTATCTCATTTATTCATAATTGTACTAAAGATGACAAATCGATGAGCAGTGTGTTTAATAATTACAAGGAAACTTCTTACATGTGTCCCACATTAAAAGTAATAAAGAAGATACAAATTTATCAAACTCGATTCGAGATGAATGATAGGTCACATCCAAGGACCTCCAAAAACAAATGCAAAATTATTTATGGTTAAAATGATAATAAAAACTTATTTTTTAAATAATAACTTGTTATTAATTTTAATTTATGAATAATTCTCTTGAGAGGTTATTGAATGTAATTCTTCATTATTCAAATCATAAAGATTAATTTTTAAATTATAAAATATTTTTGAGAAAAATTTTACATCTCAAATATAAAATACTTTGATAAAAATAAAATTTTATTTATAATTCTTTTTTAATATTATTCTTTCTATTATATATATTTTTTAATATTATCTCACAAATAGAGTATTAAATAAAATTATAAAATATATTTAATAAATTTTATTTATATATCTTATTTTATTTAAAAGTATCCTGGAAATTAGGATATAAAAAATATTTAAAAGAACTTAGTCTTTCTCTTGCTAATTTGGCACAAACGGCCAAAGTTAACTTGATAAGTATTCCTGTCTCTTGGTGCCCAAAAGCTAATTAAATAATTTGAGTATAAAATATTGCTCAAATTAAGGTTTGTGCAGTAATCTTTATGTGATAGAGTATCATATACACAATTATATATTATAATCCTATAAATAAAATTATAGATAAATTCTCTGCTTTATATATATATATATATATATATTATCTTAAAACAATTAATTTTGTGAAAAACTTGTGGCCTTCCATGAATTTTACTAGATTTATGAATGGTCTATTTTGTAAATATAATTATGCAGCTAATTATTTCAAAAGACAACATTCCTCCTAGGTAGATTTAGCTTCCAACATTTTGATGAACTTTGATATGTTATTGTTCAATGTAAAGTAAGACAACATCTTTAATTGCTAATTAATTTAATAACTAATTACTAATTAATTAAGTCATCAACGACATGGTGTGTCTGGCCAACAAATATGGTGTGGGTGCTTTATACTCACACACACAAACATATACCTATATGATTTGGGCACTTTTTTTTTTCTGCTTTTTGGTTTTTTCAAGAGATGGTCCTTTTTTTCATTTTTTATTTGGTCCACATATAAGTAGTGACAGAACTAGCTTGCGCGTTTTACAGTAATAAATCAGGTGTTTAAATTTAGTGTATGATCTTTTTTGGTATAAAAAAAATTAGTGTATGATTTTTAATCCAGCATAAATGGGATTTTAGACCATACGTTTTTTTTATAAGTCATCTATCATCATATCAAATCGTTTAACTGGCGGAAAATATATTTGTAAGTCTTTATAATTTTCTTTAATTTTATATTAAGTTTTTTTAAACTTATTTTGTTTTAATTGAGTTTTTATAATTTGATCAATTAAATTTTTTAACACCTAAAAATTAAAATCCTTGAATTTTTTTTAAAAAATAAAATTAAAAATTTAATATTCATATTAAATTATTATATAACTTTAAAATTAATTACGTAATTTTTAAATTTAAAATTTATATAATTAGGTTGTCTTTTAAATATTTTTTATACTCATAGAAATTTCATAAAAAAATTAATAAAAATTTAAAAAGTGTATTTAATCAAATTTATTTTTTCAATTTTGACTAAAAATACTATATTAAATTGTTTATAAACTCTAAAAGTATTTTTATTTTAGAAATTTAATAATTCATTATTAAAATGGCACTGTTTCACTTGATGTATTGTATGATTTGGCGTAACAATAATATATAGGCGAAAGAAAGACTCTACGTGAGTGTAAATATTTTTAACATGATGATACTTAATCCCCTTTATAAAAATATACATTGATATAATGATAATTTGAACATGTGGGCAAAAATTAATTAATACTCCCTTCATTTCATTATATAAGTTTTTTAAGATTATTGTACATAGATTGATAAATGTAATAAATATATAAAAATATAACATACTTTACTAAATTTGTCCCTTTTAATTGTGTTGACATCGGCGAAGCATAACAAGCGTGTTTAACTGTATTAAGTTAATTAATTAAATTAGTTGAGGGTTGAAACAAGAAAAATATTACTAAATGTTGCTTTAAAATTCAAAAAAATATATTATATATGTAACACTTTTTTATAAAAAAATAACCAATATAATAAAATGAAGGAAATATAATATATATATATATATATATATGGTTAAATGATATTTTTGTCCCTTAATTATTCACTCAAGAGTGTTTCACATCTTAAACTTACATATTGTATAATTTTTTTTTTCAACATTTGAAAATAGAGCAGTGATTGTTCTGCAGTTGAAAAGTTGACTTTAACAATTGTTTGACCTATAAAATTGCAAAAAAAGATCGCAAAAAAATTACAGAAAAAGATTGAAACAATTATCCATAAGTATCCTATAAAAATTGATACAAATTACGTTGCTTAAATTACATATAAATGTTAAGATATGGGGTAATTAATGGATCACAATTACTGATAGCAATACCTATAAATAATTAAAAATATTATATTTGTCTTCCATAATTTAGATAATTTAATTGATATTAATTTTTTCATAGGATACTTTTTTATAATTTTTTTAAGTTAACTAATAGTTAAAGTTAACTTTTTAATTGTGGGGTGTCAAATGCATCATTTTTAAAGGTTGAAAAAAAAAATTTATATTACATGTAAGATTAGGAACACTCTTGAGCAAATAAGTGCCATTTAATTCTAAAATATATGTAACCAGGTGGAGTTGTAGTACTAACAAATTATAACTTCAAAAAAAAAAGTGCTCCTTTTATTTTAAATCTCACCCTTAATAAAGTATTCCCTTCATTTTTATATATAAAAAAAATTATATCATACAATTTAAAAAAGTTAATTAACCATAATAATTATGTCTGAAAATAAAAAAAAATTAGACTAAAATGCCTAATGTTAATTAACATAAACATACATGAATTATTTCTCGTTAATATAAATTATGAAAAATAATTTAAGAAATATGTAATAAATGCTTATTGAAATAGATGATTTTGCTTATATAAAAAAAAGTAAAAAATGATAATTTTTCTTATAAATAGAAATGGAGGAAATAGTTAATTATCTTAAATTAATACTATCTTTTCATATTTACTTTTATTTAATATGATAGTTTACTTTATAATAAATATAAATTAATTTATTTATTATAAATACTTTAAAAAATATGTTAATTACACTTTAAAACATTAAAAATATTTTATATTTTTAAATATTTAACTTTTAAAAAATACTTTATATTTTTAAACCATGAGTATATAATTTATGAAAAAATGTGTTTAATTGTCCTTGTAAAAAGTTTATAAGCAACAGCTGGCACAAGGTTAGCCCGACCCCTCTCAGTTTGAACTTTTAATTGACTTGCAGTTTTAATTGACTTTAATTTAAGCTTAATAGTTAATCCACATCACTCCATCTCATCTCTTTACCAACTCAACGAAATTAATTAGATAAATATTTGATTTTTTTAATTTATTATAATCTTCTGCATCATAATTTTTTATTAGAAATAAATTTATTTTATCTGATTCAATTCCAAGCCTGCACATGTAGGTTCCTCGCAAAATACACCATCTTCCAGAAGAAAAGGTAATTTTATAATGTGAAAGAGTAAATACATTAATTAAAAAACAAATCAAAAGGCCATAAATACACACACATGCCGATGAGAATCATTCAAAGCCATTATATTAAAATAATGCTAAATTAATTGATGACGTCATTCTTGCGCAGACAAGGGGGAAAAAAAGAAATAAACAAAGAAAAGACGACCTCATCACCCTTCTTTCGTGCACTGTTTAATAAAATAATAACTGGCCACGATTTACTTTGTCATTGGCCAATTATTATATACATGTATTTCCACACAAAGTCATCATCAGATTAAAATTCAAAGAACAATCATAATCTCCAGCTTTCCTCACATAATATTTTGCAGAGGCAAACAAGAAAGATAATACTAATAAAAAAAAAAAAAAACACACACACACACACAGATGTTTAGCCGACCGTGTATATGCCTAGTTTCAAGTCGTCTGTGATTATATTTAGGGAACATCACAAATGAGCCCAAGCAAAACTAATTAATTGTAAACAAATAAAGATGGTTTACAAAGATTCAGGATAAAAAGAATTAGCCATAAAAATACTGCAATATCATGCAAGAACAAAAAAAAAAAAAAAAACAGAGAGAGAATTCCAGTTAAGGGGCATATTGGCTATTCATTTACCAAAGAAGCCTAAGAAATTCTAAAAATCCACCGGAGGATGAAGATTTTGAGACTAAAATTAAATTAAATTGTGTAACAAAATGACCCAATTGTTCGTAATGTTTAAACAAAAGAAAAAGCTCAGCATCACTCAAACGAGTGATTTAAAAGTTATATTATATATTTTATTTGGAAAGTTAATAATTTAACAAGCCATATTTAAATTTACACAGATTACATATTGAACATGTAAAACTTGTAAAACTTGTAATATTATTTGTAAAATTCTTTGCATTGCTTGGCAAGGTTACATGTTATTTGTCAAATGTTTAATCTATGTAAATTTATATATAACTTGTTAAATGACTAATTTCATAAGTAAAATGTTTAATATAACTTGCAAATTTTTTGATGTTGCTTGTTAAGTCCATAATGTGAACTTGCACAATATGTAATTTGTGTAAATTTAAACATGGTTTCTTAAATTATTAACTTTACAAGTAAAAAATCTAATATAACCTGTAAATTTTTTTATGTTGCTTATTA